CGCAAATCTTTCAGAAGAGGAAATGTTTTCTGAATTATTTGACACGCGCAGTTAATAGACGGGGTTCGGACAGCACAGGCATAAACTTTGTCAGCGAGTGGTGATGGACGCCGTCTCACCACTGACTTTACCAGTAATGCGTTTTCAGTTAAACTGAAGGTGGTGATGATGCTCGTTTATTTGTCACAGGACAAATGCAGCAACGCTGATGATTGTGGCTGTCACAACCATCAATAACGCGATAGTCATGGAAACATGATAGCACTTAGGCTACAGCTCCACACACTGTCACGCGTTTCATCGACTACCCAACACACCCCCATAATCCAACGAAGCAACAGTTCATGCAAAAAGCCGGCAATACAGGAGTATAGGCGCATTGATGGCACTCATATAAAGACAACCTTTTTTATCTTTCATTTATTAATGTGTATCATAATGTACTATCTCTTGATTCTTTATTGTTAAACATGAGTTGAATATAAACTCCTCTCAGGAATTTCACCATTCAATGTGAATTAATCCGAGAATCTCTTCAGTGATTGGTCGTTGGCTACATCGTCATCCAAAATCCTGTTTGTGGCACAGCAAAGTGTCGTAAATCAGACTGACACTTAAGATTTAGTCCTACACTTCACTCAATTAGGACTATGGTGCTTGATAACTAACTTTTAAGCACAGCTTTGAGCCAAGAATGTTTTTATTCTTAAATCAGTTCTTATCAGTGTTCTTATGAGTAATTCTGAGAAGCTTGATAAATACGGGCCCAGATCTACATTTCTTCATTGCTGCATTTAGACCTGAATATTGTGCAGTGTTTGTGATGTCTTGTGTGTGTAGGATCTCACTCTCTTCCCCATTATTAATCCTCATATATGAGATTACTGCTCGCTGCCTGGTGACACAGCATGTTTTGACAGGTCTCTTTCACACTTGAATGCCTCTTCCCTCTCCGTCTGTGTTCAGGTCTTTCATGACATTGCGTATAAGGCCAAGGACAGACAAGATCTGCTGGCCGGCATCGACGAGTTCCTGGATGAGGTGATTGTGCTTCCTCCTGGAGAGTGGGACCCGGCCATCAGGATAGAGCCCCCGAAATCCCTCCCGTCCTCTGACAAAAGGTCTATAAACATGGATAAATATGAAGTCCATCTTTCTACTGTGTGCTTACTGATGCTTCTTTGGTTCTGCCGAGTCAACAAGAAATGTACTTTGAGTTTGTGTCTGCATACTGTGTTTCCCCTCCACCAGGCTCCTCGTGTTGATTTTATATCAGGGACGAACACGATAAACTTACTCACATATTCACTTTTGTGGATTGTCTACTTATAATTGGCACATCAAATCACTTTTAGATCATTTTAGAGGATTATCAGCCTGAACAGTAGCCCAGTAAAATGTTCACATTGCACTGCCTTTCAAACATTTAAAAGACATTTGTGAAAACTGAGAAAGTAAGAGTACAAGACTATCTTGCATTAAACATCTAAGAAGCTGCATCTGAATGCTGTGTGTGCAGCGACTACATTATGTTAAAGAAGTGCAATAGTTGCAAAATCACTTAATCACTCAACTGCAGCACAGTGTTCAATTATGAAAGAGCAGCAGTGGGTTTTATTTAAAGATGCAATTTTGTTCTCAGTAAAGCAGAAACGTTTCTGCAGGTTATGTGAGCACTGATAAATCAAGCTAATTAATAACGTAATGCCTATCAACATTATCTGTTTGGCAACATAAGAGGCCAAGACAACATGTTGACGAGCTTTAAATGCTTAAATGCTAAAAAAAAACTTCCGGCTGTGTCAACATCAGTACATATTTGAGGTGTAAATACATGACCTGCAGCACACACTATTTTTATGTGACAAACTGTTCAGTAGAGGTAAATAGCCTCCCAGACTGAACAAAACTGTGTTTATTTTAGGAAAAACATGTATGCAGGAGGGGAATCGCAGATGAACGGAGATATGCCTCATGATGGAGGTCACGGAGGAGGGGGCACGCTGTAGGTGACGAGCTGAAGAAGACTGGAAGGTATGAAATCATAAACAAAACCAAATATTTTTCAAATTAATAGTTTTTATGAGAATGAATATTAATGTGGACACGGAGCATTTCACTACCTTTCCAACACTGTAAAAATGGAATAGTTAATGGCCATTGTAGAGTGTGCCTGAAAGAAATACATTGTTTGACAAGATTGTACAACTTGTAGTGCAAATATTGGCATTTAAACAACACTCAGCAGCTAAACAGTTCATTCTATTTTTAAACTGAAGTGCAGCATGGCTCACAGATATCCAGAGAAAATTGTAAAAAAAATGCCAAAGGACTATGTGTCTGATTACACAGGATTTTGTCTCATATCTTGCTCTCACCATGCTAATGATTCATTGTTATAATGAGTGTTAAGTGTTATGCTTTGTAAACTAAACATGAGCCATGTATTGTAGTTGTCCTGGTCTGCATACAAATACTGTAAACATGGTGTTGCTTAGTACACACACCATTTATTTCTCTGTTTTCAGGTTTTGTGGGGGTCTCTTACTCGACATCAAAAGAAAAGCGCCTTTCTTTGTCAGTGACTTCACCGATGGATTTCACATTCAGGTCTTGTCGACCATTTTGTTTTTACCTGGGAACTGTGACGAATGCCATCACCTTCGGTGGTCTGCTGGGGGATGCTACAGAAAACATGCAGGTCAGACTAAGATTTGAACCTCTGAATAGCTTGTAATTATGTTCTGAATGGCTTCCTAACTGTCCCCCTCCATGGGTGCAGGGCGTGTTGGAGAGTTTTCTGGGCACAGCAATCACCGGTGGGGTTTTCTGTCTGCTGGCTGGTCAGCCTCTCACCATCCTCAGCAGCACTGGTCCTGTTCTTGTGTTTGAACGGCTGCTCTTCAATTTCAGCAGGTACATTTAGCATTTTCTCAGATTGCCAGAGGCCTAGTTACTAATCACAGATGATTTATGGCTTGAAAAGTACTTTATCTCCATGTTAAACCTTGGATTTTTATGAATGCTCACCAAATCTGTGCCATGAAACAATCATGTTGACACCAAATCATTTTTAAAGAGGTGGTATTATGGTTTTTGGCTTTTCCCATCTCCTTTATTGAGTTATATATCTTTTCTGTGCATGTAATAGGTTTGCAAAGTGAAAAAGCCCAAAGTCCAGCCCTAAGGGAGTTCCCAGCATTTACTTCCCTTTCTTGTGACGTCACAATGAAAATACGTGTCGCTGAGCGACTAGTCCTTAAAAACACCAGTGGGAAAACACAGATCTGCAGCACACCTCTCCTCTCTCTTCCAAACACTCGCTACCCAATACTCAATGGACATAAAGTTGTTACTGTGATGTAGAGACAGAGCTCTGTTAAAACTTTATGGATGAAAGATACTTTTGTTACAGATTAATAACTCACCACTCTGAAACTCTTGCTCCAGTCCAAATTGCCAACCTGGTCGGAAACATGTAGCTTAGAGCTGAATCGAAGCTGTTTACCGTCTTTTGGCTGACCTGCCCTTCTCTGCTTCTGATTGGCTAGTAGTCCTTGGCTAGATGAGATGCATCACTCCATAGCTAAAGCGAAGCCTTTAACACAGGGTGAAAAGAGGAACTGCAGCAATGGGCAGTATGACAAAAAATATGGTGTTTTTTGAAAATTAACCCATGTAAACCTGTTCTGGTACAACCCCTAAATAAGATTTTGAACCTGAAAATGAGCATAAAACCACCTCTTTAATGCGAGTCATGCTGCTGCAGAGCATCAGGGCCACTTCCAAAATACTGGTGAGCCTGCCCCAGGCTTGTGTTCAGAAATAGTTACAAAAATACAGCGAAAGTTCCACATTTAAAAGACAAACATTCATTCCAAAAGCAGTAACATGACATCCATGTCTGCCCTCAGTCCCTTCTCTTGTCTAGTGCTCTCCAACTTGAGGAGAGCGCTGCTACACCAGTAGTTATTCTACACAACTTTTAGCCCGATTTGCTGCTCGGCGAGCTCGGCGACCATCAGGCTGTCGTCGGGAGTAAATCAGCGATCGTTGGTCGCCAGTTGTTATGTGTGAACTACACAACGACGCAGCAAAACGGCTCCCAGACACATCACTGCCACATCGCTGATGTCTGCCAGATATCTAGCATGCCAAATATCTGGAAGAGTCGGCCGACTCGACATTCACATCCGCCAACGAGAGCAGGCAGCTGCTTTTTCACTGCAAAACACTTTTTATTCACCTGCAGCTCTCTCTGTAGCTCAGACAATCCCTGCTACCTGTAAAATGTAATCCATTCTTTAACCCATATTCTTTGTCTTTATAATTTCTATCTTTATTGATTCCTATGCTTTAGGATTGATTTTAAGATTTTATTGCTTGTCTTTAAAATTTCAAATGGGTTGGCACCTTCTTATTTATCAGAACTTTTACATATACACACTCCAGTCAAAGCACTGAGGTCATCCAATCAGAGGCTCCTCGATGTCCCCAGATCCAGGTTAAAAACTAAAGGTGACTGAGCCTTCTCAGTAGCTGCTGTAGCTTTGGTCAACTAGTGTTGTTTTTAAATGTGCTATATAAATAAACTTGAACTTTATAATGACAAAATCAGCTGTTTCATGTATAGGTCGCATAACTTCTCATTTCACATTTCACGTGTGTTTTCTTGACAAAACGTGGTTTGGAGACCTGCGTTGGGTGACAGAGTCCTTGTCAGCTCATTTAGTGTGTGACCCCCTGTCAACGATCAGTCATGTAGTGTGAACGCCACAACGACTTCAAGACTCCCGTCACAAGACGGCAAGTTGTGTAGTGTTAACAGCACGGCCATCGGCAGACGCTGAAAGTCGTGTAACCTGCATGAGCCTTTAGGCTCAGCTGTACTCCTAGTTGCTATAGACTACTGGTACTACGGTTGCTCCCCTTCAGCTCTGGCAAACATTGCCGGTTGACATAAAATGCTTCATTACTGGTGCTCCATTGTTGGTATGTTGTCACAGACACATATTGAAAAAACTCCAGTATACTGCGAAATACAGAGATTTACCTGGTGGTTTATCAGCCTTGTGGGAACTTTTCTTGCGAGGACTTAATTGTAACGGACGTTCATTTATATGTAAAAGTCCCGCATTCCACTTTTTTCATGTCTTTAAAGTTGATGTCATTGACATAAAGTCAGAACCGATACATCTTCATATTATGTTGATAATGTTAGTTATTTAAAAAAACAAAAAGAAAACTCTGGGCATATTTTACACATTGTACCAGTCAGTTAGCTTTCACGTGTCAGATGCAGTTTTAATAATATGACTTAATTGAAATATTATACCTTTTTCTCAAAGTATTACAGCTTTATTCTCATAATGTTTTGTCTTAAAATAGAACTGTGTTCTCAAAACTCTTTCTAACAGTGGCCCTAATACTCGTAGTTGTATAAAAGATCTGACTATTTTTGAATATTTGTTGTTTTTTCATACAGAGAGAATGGCTTTGACTACCTGGAGTTCCGCCTGTGGATTGGCCTGTGGTCGGCGTTCTTCTGCCTGGTGCTCGTGGCCACTGATGCCAGCTTCTTGGTGCAGTACTTCACCCGGTTCACTGAGGAGGGCTTCTCCTGTCTCATCAGCTTCATCTTCATCTATGATGCCTTCAAGAAGATGCTCAAATTAGCTCACCACTATCCCATCAACAGCGAATTTAAGATGGAATATGTCACACAATACGACTGCCTCTGTATGGCTCCTGCTGTTCTAGGTGAGATGTTGCTTAACATTGAGGCGTTTAACTCACATTGGTATCCAGACACTGAATGAGCAGGTGTGTTTTACCCATGAATCCATATAAGACCATGTATAAGACACATCAATGTTGGTTAACCAATTAGCCATTGCAGGTTTTGACATCCTGTTGATGAGAAATTCTCCTTAAAAATGATCCCACATACATGTAGTTTTATTTTAAGAAGTTTTAACATTCGAATCAGGGTTATTGCAAGGTAGGTTTTCTAATATGAAGAATTTACCTTGGTATTTTGGTGCATAATAGTAAACACAGTAAGAGAAAATTCTATGAAGGTTTACTCTAGATTGAGCATTAAAGTTGCAGTGAAAGTGGATTTTCATCATTTCAAAGTTGCAGGCACAATTCAAGGAGGGAGTATTTTGTAAATCACTGTTTAGACTGTTGGAGAGAAACACTGAGTTTAATTTGATGAGAGGGGTTAAAGGGAGGGCTTTTTTTTTTCATGTAACATGTGGTTAGATGGATGGCATAAATACTCACTTTAGCTTGTTTGGTTGTAAGGGGTAATTGCAGCTTTGTGGGCTGCTGAGTTTTAGTTTCTGTTTTGTTTTGACATAAATGGCCAGATATTTATGTGTTGTTATGGTTACAATAAACGAAAAAGCTTTTTTTTCCCCATTAAAAAAGTGAACAAGTGCTGTTCTCATCAGACTTTAATACAACACAGCATGCCTCTTTATTTTTTCTGATGGAGGACGGGAGATGAAGAGGGGGGCAGCCCTGAATTACTGGTCATCCCCTACTGCTTTCAAAAATCTCTCTCTCTGACACACACACACAGAAATATGCAATTCCCCATGCGCTCCAAATAGAGTAGGCCTACAGTGCATACCAGGAAAGGGGAAACAACAGATGCTTACTTTTAATGAGTGAGCAGCTGACACATCATCAAAACAGGCTGGTGTAACACAGACAGTCAGTCAGGGAAACTTCTGACTGGTTGCAAGCTAGCGGTTTGGCTCAACACTGAAATTTCTTTTAAACTCTTTTTTTGAGGCCATTTTATGCTTTTTTTAGACAGCAACAGTCGACTGGAAACAAGGGAGAGACTGAGATGCAAGAAAGGTTCCCAGCTGGTCATGAAATTTGCTACAGACATCAGTTGTACTGAGATTAGCTAACATGCTAAGCTACATAACTGTAATCATGTTATTTCAGATGATATATTTGATATGATATATGCCAAGTAAGCAACGTGAACATCTTACAACAATACAACTTATATTAATAAAATGTCTGCCTAATGTGTCAACAAAGAGCTGAGCCATAAACTGGCAGCTACAAAAGAAACTCTTTGATTTTCACCCCATCCATTCAACAGTTTTGTTTCTCTTCCATTATAGCTGGTTGGGGGTAATATATTGTGGTTTTAGACATAGTGTCGTTTAAAACTTCATTCATTGATATTTATGACAAATTTGAACTTATTGACGAAGCACTGTGTAATGTGCTGTGGTAAAGACTTTTGCTGAGAGGATTTTTGTTTTTGCAGAGAACAGTACAGATATCATTGGTGACCCATTAGAAGGTACTTCAGTCTGGTACTGGAACAACACTGATCTGGTAAGTTTTCCAGTTTTTATTGCTGTCTGTGGTGGAAAAAATAGATTGGCAATATTATAATTACCTTAACTATTGATATTGTTCTGAATGCAAAATCATCCGTAGTGATAGTGTATGTAAGATGTCATCTATGCTACTGTATGCTATCTGAACTATACAGTAGCTCTAATATACTGTAGTGTGCTGTCTGTTTTTCCCTGATTTATTTCAAGCTGTGTTCAAACTGAAGGACTTTGGTCTGACAATCTTGAAAATACTTACCAGCATATCAACCACAAATTGCGAGATGAAGAAAAAACTCAAGATGACAGTGTTACAAGGAAATGTTGCAAGGAAAGTAGAGCAGTCTGATAAGCACATTGTTTCCAATTTAAGGTTACTGTGACACGCTCGGTGGACTTGCCTTTATCTCTCTTTACTCCAAAACACTGAAAGTCTGCAGCGTTGTGCGAGTTACTGAAAAGTAGTTGTAGTCACTGGTTGTTTCTTCTTTTAAAAGTAAGTGAATTATTTTACCAATTACTGCAGGTATAAATAATTAGTTATTTGGGGAAGTAACGTTTGTGTTATATTGTCTTAAATATCTGCTTCAATTCTCTTACTAATACAGCACAGCTACATTATTTTAGGGTTGCTGTTGCACAGTGTGGGACAGGATAATTGTCCCACACTGTGCCGTTTGAGGCTCCTCCCCGGGGTGTTTTGTGATCAGCTTTGTAGAACCATGTTGTTTTGTTAGGTGCTTCAGAAGATTAAATTGATTAATTGGTTTCTGTTACAATATTTTTTATATGCAATTTAAGTGTCAATGCTAAGGTTGGTTTGGTCAGGAAGACTACTACCATACGAAGCTGATGTTCCAACCATTGAACCAAAACTTTTGGCTTTTCATTTGTGTGGCTGCCACAAACAATTATTTTTATTGTTGATTATTTCACAATTAATTGATTAATTGTTTGGTCTGAAACATGGCTGAAAATGGTGAAAAATGTTGAACCTTGTTTCCCAAAGCCCAAGATGACGTCCTGAAATGTCTTTTTTTGTCCACAACCCAAAGCTATTTGGGAGTGTACTGTCATAGATGAGTAAAGAAACCAGAAAATAGTCACATTTAAAAAGCTGGATTTAGAGAATTTTGACTTTTTTCCATAAAGAATTCCTCAAACTGAAAATTAAAAATTGTTGGTGATTAATTTAATAGTTGACAATTAATCAGTAAATTGTTGCAGCTCTAATCATTTGAACTGTTTAGTCATTACTTTTAGCTACCTGTTAGGATTTTTGCTTTCACGCATTATTGCAACAGTTAGAGTGGTGTTCAGGTTCAGCAGTGCTACACGCTACAGCCTTAATATGTGGATATATTGTTTTAATCAAATAGTAATTTATGTTCTACTTCGCAATCTTTTCATCCACCAACTGCAGAAGTACCCCTGGTTGGGTATCACTGTAATAGCAAATAGGCTGCGTTCCTCTGCTGTTAGGACAAGAGTAACGAGCCCATTTTCAGAAATTGTTTACAGTTACAAGTTACTTTACTTTACCCTTCTTTCAGATTGGTCACAGCTTTAGTGGGACACTAATTTGCATGAATAACTGTTTCTATATAACCATTATGCTCTTTGTTTCGTCTCTGCAGCCAATGAACGCCACATGGTCGTCCCTCACAAAGACCGAGTGCTTAAAGTACAAAGGAGAGCTGGTGGGGAAGGCCTGTGAGTTTGTCCCAGACATCGCCCTCATGTCCTTCATTCTGTTCTTCGGCACTTACACCTGCTCCATGTGTCTGAAGAAGTTCAAGAGCAGCCCCTTCTTCCCCACCACAGTGAGTCACCGTCAGCCACACTTTGCTAATTTAATCCAGCTGGTCATCTGTCAAGGAAATGACGGTAGGTGTTCAAATGTTTGTGTTAACGTTCACCCAGGTGAGGAAGCTCATCAGTGACTTTGCCATCATCCTGGCCATCTTTATCTTCTGTGGAGTTGATATGCTTGTAGGAGTTGACACTCCAAAACTCATTGTGCCAACCGAATTCAAGGTGAGTTCCTCCCTCCCTGCCTCCTAAGTGCTCATGCCCAGCGCACAATTCAAGTGCATTTTGTTTAGGTGTATTGCTTTAGAAAACATCATAAAACATATTAAGATTCCACTAGACTTTTGTCAAAAGGTTATAATCCAAAACACAATCTTGCATTTACAGTACCATGTGACAATACTTAGACAAAAACTGTTGGTTGTGGTGGTTTACATTTTAATCACTGGAGTATTCATACTATAGGGAAACGAACTGAAACCAGTGGTTTTAAAGGCAGGAAGCTACAACCCTAGCTTAGGTGGAAGAAGGAATGCCAATAAAATGTAGGCTTGTTGGTTTAATCCCCGGCTCCTCCTGTCTACATGTCAAAAGCAAACATCATATTTCCATAACAGTTTCTGTCAATGCCACTTTATCTCGTTGACTGACATGTTGGAGCTTCTGTCTTCCTCCCTCACAGCCAACAAGTCCAAACCGGGGCTGGTTTGTTCCCCCGTTCGGAGGAAACCCCTGGTGGGTTTACCTGGTGTCGGCCCTTCCTGCCCTGCTGGTCACCATACTGGTCTTCATGGACCAGCAGATTACTGCTGTGATTGTCAACAGGAAGGAGCACAAGCTGAAGGTAGAGAAGAAACTACAGCGATAAAATATGTATTCTAAGCAGGTTCATTTGTTACCCAGGTTATATAAGTCTTCAAAATGCAAAATGTCGTTGTTGTTTTAATGTTTACAGAGTTCACAGGGTTGATGTACTGTATGAGTGAGAGGCAGTGGTGGGTTAGGAGTCACTTCAATAATACAGGTCATGTTCTGATATACAGTCAGAATATAACCAAAGGTTCAAGATTTTGCAACGAAACCTGAATGATAAATTGCTGTGAATGCTTGAATCTGTATTTTTCATATTATAGAATGCATTATGTTTAAATTATCATTGCAGTGTAAACAGTGAGGCCTTTTGTTTCTTTCCTTTTCTTTCTGTTTGTCTTACTTGCTTTATGTAAAGTGAGGATTTCCATGCGTTTCCCACAACAAGCTTCAGTTTGTACAGGACACTGGCTACCTTCACACTGCAGTTAAATATTGTTGTCATTCTTCTCATGGGAGTGAGAGATGTTTCATGGCAGTGACTGAACACAGCTCAGTTCAAAAGCAACTACTTGAGATGTTCAGGGCCACTGCTGAAGTTTCTGCGGTGTGACTTGTCCCTTTAAAGATAACTGCAGAATAATTTCAGAGCACTTTAGTTCTATTCTGCTACTGTATTACTCAACATAATATATGATCAAACCCTACAAGAGCTGTTTCCTGGTTTTAGGTTTCCCTGTGTCTGCAGCTGGGCTCTGCATACTGCTATGCTTGAGCATGCACATACATGACCTTTAACCTTGAGTTTGTTGTCTGAAACAGAAAGGGGCAGGTTACCATCTGGATCTGTTCTGGGTGGCCGTTCTGATGGTGATTTGCTCCTTCATGGGTCTGCCATGGTACGTGGCTGCCACCGTTATCTCCATTGCGCACATCGACAGTCTGAAGATGGAAACCGAAACATCGGCTCCCGGAGAGCAGCCGAAGTTTCTGGGTGTGAGGTAAGACACAGTACAATAAGTTGGAGAGTGTTTTATTTATTTATTTTTCATCTGGATCAACATCAAAGTGCACATAATGGCAGACAATAATATTTATGAGGATAAAATGTAAAGATGAACTGATTGTTGTTGACTGTTGCTGTAGCACCATCTATAGGACAGATGCCAACAAACTTTACTGAAACACTGGGAAGTTGTGTGCACCTGTCAACTTGCAAAGAGGACAGTTTCATTTGGCAACCAGTGCTAATAGAAAGCAGTACAGCATGTCATTAACACGGATAACCTTCGGGACTCCAAATATACTATATATATCCAAATATTTAATGTTGGGCGGTTCCGAATAGTTCAAAGCTTCATTCATAACTTCAACCTTCAAATTCTAAATCTACATTCAACAACTTTTCTTTCATTTATTCTGTTTAAACATGGTATTTCTGCACAGTTGCCGATAACGATTACACTACATTAATATTATTAGTATTATACTATTTGTAGAATTAGATACCAGTGGTGGCTACGTAGGATTGTTTACGACTCATGTGATCCAAACATTTCCAATAACTCCACAGTGTTGTCCAAAAGTCCAAATTTAGCTACAATAACAAATCTATTTCGGCTCCATTAGTTTCTGACATTGTTGCCTAGGTCACAGACCCTGTCCTTTTGCACGAGTGAGTGTCGGTCACACTGAAGACGTGCGCCGGACTTTCAGATTTTGGGATTAGCCTGCTGCCTACATGTATTTTATGTTGACTGATGAGTTATGTTCATTAAAGAAAAGTGATTTAATAAAAAGTCTTTCAAGCTGATCAGTCGCTTTATTCAAATTGAGGATTTTGTTTGAGGATTTTTTTGGGGGGTGATGACGTCATAAAATATGACGACAGACATTGAAAGCTTCAATCAGATAGCTCTGTAGAGTCATAGAATGTAAAAAACAAAACAAACAAAAAAACCTTGCTACAACCCTAATTTCATGCACTAAATTAGACTAGAATCAGGTAGAATAAAACTGTAGAGGGATTGTTGAAAACTGCAAAAACATTTAAATGGTGGACATATTTCTTTTCAGGCAGAAACCTGTGGGGTTTATACTCAAGGGTTAGGTTTGAACCAAGCAATCCAGGAAAAGGAATAAAACATGAACTGCTCTATATTTAGTCCCCTGATTTATCTTATTTTTATTTTCTATTTAGCTATATTTAAATGATCTTTTATTTTTGCCTTATGTGCCTTTTATGTTTTATGTAAAACACTTTAAACTGACTTGCTGTTGAAATGTGCTATACAAATAAACTTGCCTTTTCCTATAAATGACCAAACCTTTGCACTGTCTGCACCAAAAACAAATCAGGTATTCTTTGGCCCACTCTCTGGCAAATCTCACAAAAATGTGTTCAGTAGTTTTGAAATCTTGTTAGAGGTAATTAACTAAACTGCAATAAAGTCATTTGGGTCATTAAGACAAACTTCAAAAACATTTACAAAGTAGATTACTGTTGGATTGTTAATCCTGACTGGTGAAATATTATTTATTACCACCTCTCAGAAGTTTACACCACCTCCACGAAATTACAGAAATATTACATTGATCTCTTTCATTAACTGTTAGAGAAGACAAGCAATTTATTGTAGTGTCTATGTACTCCAATTAAGCTGCATAATTGGCTGTTTTAAATCATTGTGTTTTTGTACATGAGTCGGTTTTGTCTTTTGTGTTCATTAACAGATGATAAAGGCACTTTACCATCTTCCTGTTTGATTTTCTTCCTGTTTTTAGAGTTTTTTGTTTTTGTGTGGTGAAGTTCTCCACGACCTCCCGATGCGTCAGCTGTAAGCTGAACTAACAAACTCTTGTCTTGCAAGACAATGAAACATCTACACCAACTCTGAATCTCCTACAAGTGTTGTTGGGTTGTCTTGGCTTTGGCCAAGCTGAATGAGATTTGGGGAATCATTGACATCCTCAAATAATCAGCCCCATTATTCAAGCTTTTCTGGGACTTTGTCATTGTTTGTAAAAGAGGTAAAATATGTCCAAATCATGAAACAGTCATTTGAGTTTTGTTAGCATAACTATTTTCCCCCCTCTTTATTTTTTTTTTGCAGAGAGCAGAGGGTCACTGGTGTGTTTGTGTTCATCCTGACAGGACTGTCTGTATTTATGTCTCCCATTTTAAAGGTAATTAATCAGAGATTGTCTTCTGATTTGCATCTGTTTGTTAGTCACTAAGTCTCTCAAGTTTAATCTTTTCAAGGTGACTGAGCTATGCCAGATGTTGGAAACGAACATTAAAACATTTTAAATGTTCCCAGTACCTGTAATTGACCTGCTAAGTTATGTATTTACTCCAAGGCTCAAAGAGAATAGCTTGTCACTGTGAAACAAAAACAGTTGGATTTAGTAATAGTGGTTGTACTATAACAGAGCACCAATGCTTTGATGTTTATCATGAAAATGAAATAAACATGTCAAAATAAGGTAATTATTCTCCTCTTACTACCAAAACTAGGTTTATTTTTTGGATCTCTGACTAACAGTCTGAAAGGGAGATAAACAAGCTGTTATTTCTGTATCAGTCAACCAACTAACTCTCCAGTTGGCTGCTACGCTGCAGTCCATGTGTGAGATCAGAGGTCAGCGGCCAGTGGAGCACAAAATCTGAGTATAGATTAACTCCATGTTTGACAGTGTAAAATGTGGGATTATTGCAGACTCAGCTATTGAGAGAGACATTTCAGTGGTTAATTGTTGTGTTTGCCACACGTAATAATAATAATAGCAATAGTGAAACTTGTGTTCTATAAAGATGTTAACATATTTTATCTTTAAAAGAATAATACCAATGTTTTTAGCTCATCAAACTAGTTAACATCATTAACAGTTTTTCTTCACATTAACCTTAAATATTCTTCTTTTATTGCTTAGTGAAAGCTACACATTTTAGTAGAGTAGAGTTGGAGTACACAAAACCACGTCTCACAGTATAAATCGCAGTAATGTGTTCTGAACATGTGCGTTGTTTGCTTTTGAGTGTATTTCTTCATTTTTCTCTCCCTTTTTTACCAAGTTTATCCCCATGCCGGTGCTGTACGGAGTCTTCCTATACATGGGAGTCGCCTCTCTTAATGGAGTTCAGGTAAATTACCACCTGACACGTGTCATGTTAGTAGTATTTACACGTCAAATCTTGAGGCTGACCTCAAGATTTTTGAATATCAAAATATTCAAAAACAATGCAAGCCAGTGACTAGCTGTTACTCGTGTGTCGCATCTAGTGCTTCCTGTGATGTTTAGCTCTGTCTGTCTGTAGTTTATGGATCGTCTCAAGCTGCTTCTGATGCCAGCAAAGCATCAGCCGGACCTGGTTTACCTGCGACACGTTCCTCTCAGGAAGGTTCACCTCTTCACCTTCATCCAGATCCTATGCTTGGCTCTGCTCTGGGTCCTCAAGTCCACTGTGGCTGCTATTGTATTCCCTGTCATGGTAAGAGACATTAAGAGAAGATTAAGAAGTTCTGAAGCTGCAAATTAGTTTTTTAGGAACTTCATCCAGTGGCCTTCATCAGGGGGAGTTTTCTAAGTTGTCATGTAGGTTCAGTTGTTATCACACGACCTTAGTGTAACAGGTGCATATGTTAATCAAGGCCACAAAAGCTACAGCTGAAAGGTCGGAAAAAGTTCAACAAAGTGGACCATGTGCTCTGAATCTTTTGTCAACCTGCTATTTTAAAGGTCAAAAATAAACAGTCAACAATTAAGCTTATATTCATTTTAAGTTGAGTTGAGTTCATAGTTAGTATGTGCAGCAACCAAAAAAAGTGATGGTGATATGAAACAGAAAAGAACATGTATTGGTAACTCCAACCAGCAGTAATTTTCAATTTATAATCAGTTTTCTGTCATCCTCTAAAATGAATGAGTCAGATATGCGCGAGCAAAGATAAAAACAGCTTAATCCAGTCAGCTTGACATGATCAAACTGAATTATGGCGACACTGAAGCACTCTGACATGTAAATGAAGCTTATCATTGATACTCAGAGGATTATTTATTTGAGTGATAAACCAGTGACGATTGTCATGATGTTTTATGTTATTACGTTTCAGGGTCACTGCAGCACTCAAGGCATTATTATGGTATTTATTGTACTTGTAACTGTACTTTGTGTTATATTTATTGTTTTTAGACAGGAAGTGACTGATTACAAATCACTCACAAACTGTACCTCGCCTTGTTTCAAGGATTTAAAATATTATTATTTATCAACTGTGATGTGTCAAGATGTGCTTCATTTATCATTTGGGTTACTTAAGGTACCGAAAAATATAACATTAAAATAAGCTACATCTTCTTTTGACACATATAAAGTATTTTTAGTATTTGTTATTTGTCCTTAATTGAAGTGCACATCATTAGAGGTTTAGACCTCCCAATTATCAGTGTATATTGTTGGCTTTTGCAGCTTTGGAGATTTAAAATTGTCTTTATTAATCTCTCATCAGCGTATATTTAAAAAAAAAAGAAGTCTGTTGCATATTTACAGTGAAGTTAGAAATGTACAATATACTGTACTGCATTTAAACTCTATTTAATGTGAAGGGCTCCATAGACCAGACAGATTTTTTAGTCACACCAACTCAACAAATAAACACTGCCTCAGTCCACTCTAATCCTCTGGTTCTTCTGCTTTTAGATCCTTGCTCTGGTAGCTGTCAGAAAAGTGATGGACTACATGTTCTCCCAGCACGACCTCAGCTTCCTGGACGATGTCATCCCAGAGAAGGACAAGAAGAAGAAAGAGGACGAGAAGAAGAAAAAGAAAAAAGGAGGCAGCATAGACAGCGACGCTGAAGACGTAAGGCTGTTTACAGTTTCAACCCCCACTGGGAATATACTTTTTTTCCTTGCAGAAACAAACAAATGCCTGATTGTCCATCAGTTTCTCCAGTATCCATTGTTTTAAATGATAGCCCACTCCCAAGTCTTTCAGCCTCACCTACAACCACCATCCCTCCTCCCAACTCCCAGCTTTTTTTGCAGCAGCAGCATGTTTCATTTGAGGTTTGGCTTATCCGCAGGCTAACAAATATCCAGGTCTACAGACGTCGGTTTCCTTCCTGCACCTGCTTTCTCATGTTGTAGAGTTTGTCCTTTCCTCATTTTCAGTTGGTGTAAAGCAGTTTCCCCATTGAGTGAAGATGATAAGGTTTGCTAGAATTCCTTGACTGCTAAAAAAATCTTGGAGATAAAGATACAGCGGTGCAAGTGCCACTGTCTCATTTTGAGTGATTGTTCATGCCTCCTCGATGATAACGATAAACATCCTGCAGATCCTGGTTTGTGTTTTGGCAGTGGAAATCAGAAGCATCAGGGCATGAGCAAAGAAGAAGCAAAAAGGCATTTCTAACATTTTTTTTACGGTTCAGATGTCTTCACGCTTGCCGTTTCAGTGTAAAAAGTTTAGATTTTAAGTGACTGATCCTGGAAACTGAAACGTGGGTCCACTCAGTTCCTTGAAACCGCCACTTGATCCAGGACCCATTATACTTTATCTGGACTAATTGTGTTGGGAGGGGTCCCATTGTATTGTCGCAGGTCTCTGGTGTGTGTGTCAATGTCTCTTATACTCGTGGATCCAAGATGTTCGGATTACGTTGTGCATCTGAATTATGCGGCTGCCCGTGTTGGTGTTATCCCTATATGTCCATTTTCGGGCCGGGGTTTAATTAGCTTCAGGCCTGTTCAATTTGGGTCTGTTTTTTTGAAAGCTCACTTATGGACACCGCCTTTGGGGAGGTTTGTCTTAATGGATCAGTTTCAGGTACAGACAGATCAGTGAACTATATAAACTAATAACAATTTTAAATAGTTGAATTACTTCAGATTAAACATATCAGTCGCCTCGCCCAATTTCTGTGGATCATTTAGCAGAAATGTACGACATCTTTAGAAGAGCTGCTGTGTTTTTCTAGTTTCAAATTTCAAAACAGAGATCACTGACAGCCCAGTGGTAAATACACTTGTCCAGTTCTGGTGGAAAACTATCAGTCATATATCTTGTACAGTCTTATTGACTCCTCTCCCAAGCTGACACCAATGAGTTAAACTGTTATTAAATTTATGAATGGGTGCCCTTTGATTCACAGACAGGCAGAAAGGTTTATATGATATCTGATTTTTAGCTGCAGCAGAAATCTCTCCAGTGCTGTATTACATTGTGTCTTTTACCTTTGGGAACCAGGAAAGTACAAAATGGACCCAGAGACTCAAGACGCATCACCACTGGCTGTTTTATAATCAGTCATTTGTATTTTTCAGTTGCCCTTTCTGTCAAAATAAGTCACAGGTTTAGTAATATAAATGCATTTGTGTGTGTGTGTGTGTGTGTGCACTCGTGCTAACTCACTGACACCACCAGTAGTCCGGTCTCAGGATGTGTGTTTCCTCTCTCCAACAGTCTGACTATCCTTACAATGAGAATGTTCCCAGCATTAAAATCCCCATGGACATGATGGAGCAGGAGCCCTTCTTAGGTGATAAGGCGTCTGACAGTGAGTAGACCCAAGCTACCTGCAGCACCGGAGGAAAAACTACTTCTTCCTCTTGATCTTGCCCGACACTTTTGCTCTGCTTCCACATTCAGTGTCTCTGACGACTTCTTTTGCTACTAAGAGTTGATACTGTTGCTCGTTTGTCCTTCACTCACAGCATGAAATAAACATGTTTTTCCTTCTTTGCCTTTCTCTTTCTTGTGTTCCAAAACATGCATGAAATTAACTCACTTTCTTCTCCTTTTGTACTTTCATCTTAGATTATGATGTGTTCAAATAATTTTAATTTTATTTTATTTCCCTTTTGAAGGCTTGCTTGACCTAACCCTTTTTTCCTTCAGTTTACAGTTTCAACTTACCTGTTTAAAATATCAATTGTTGAGTTAATGGTTCTTGTTGAATTTCGACTTTGTTGTAGAAATTGCTTGTTTAAAACTATTAGACTATTAGCACACCTGCAACTAATGTTTGCCTAATCTATAAACTATTTGTAATTATTTTGATTAAAGGTATAATTTGTAAGATATGGCCAGAAATGTGTTTTAAAATGTTCAAAAAAGTATCTTAAGAAGTAGTAGCTGTTCTGATGTTATGTCAAAGGCATCTATGTATTGTGTTGCAGAAATATCTATAAAGATGCTACTAAGTAAGCATGCTAACCAGCTAACCACAGCCCGTCCTGTGTTATAATACCATTTGTGCCTCGAGAGGCAATAATATAGCACAGGTCACCCCCTATAGTTTCATCTGGGATATATGTGCAATGCATTGTGAGGCTGACATCTTTTCAGGAATCCTGTCAGTCACGAGATTCCTGGGTATTCCCATGGAATGGGAGTCAATTTCACTGTTCATCACAGGACTGGGACAGGACAGTAAAAAAGTCAAAGGGAGCAGGCAGGACAGGAATCATAGATCAGTTTTACATATAAATATGCAGTTCTAATATTTTTGAAATTACATTACATTATCTTTTTTAGTCTAATAAATAAACTCAAAATGTAAAAACAGGAAATATTCTTAACTATATTAACTTAACTATTTTCCTTATCAAACCAGTACACCTTCTGAATTCTCTCTTTCACCAAACTAATTGCCCTGTTAACACAGTGTAAAACCACCAAACCCTTTCCACTGTTCCAACAATCACTACATTAGCTGCACCGCTAACAGAGCTAACTTGCTAACAGCAGTTATGACCTGTGACATGCTGCCCCCTATTTTTCAAATTCAACAGGTGGAGAGTAGTCTCAATTCTTACAAATTGTACTTTTTAAGTAACAGTTAACATTTGAACAAAATCCTATTTACTACATTAAATAAAATACTGGCTTCTCATCTACTTTATCACTGCACAAAGTAAAAACATTTCAGAATATTGTCAACTACCAGTAAGTAGTACTAACAGTAGATTTGGGTAAAATCTGTCCTGAATATAAACTTTAAAGTTTGTGTCAGAGTGGATCAAATATATTAACTTGGTTACATGTACACAAATGGCTGTTTTTGTTTGTTCTTCCACAGGAGAGAAGTCCCCATCATTCCTTGAACGACATACATCGTGCTGAGCAGCTTCGCTACTACCAGGCCAATTACTTGTCCAGGTGAGATGTGTGTGTGTGTGTGTGTGTGTGTGTGTGTGTGTGTGTGTGTGTGTGTGTGTGTGTGTTGGGGGGGCAACATAACTAGCTAGCAATATAACTGGCTCTGATTTTCTTTTTTAATTCATTCATGGCTGTGGCATCAAAGGTCAGAAGGCGAGCTAACAAGCTAACATATAATGCTAGTCTGAACTTTAAAGGCCATCTAGGCTAATTAAGTTACCTATGGCTTTTTTCAGTGGCTGACAGAGTTGGCATGTTTCAGCTCAGATGCCTCCCCTCTCATCTCTTCTATTTCGCATAGGCTTCGCCCTCTAATGCGGAATTCAGACCAACCGCGAATTTTCTCCTCGCGACGCTTTCCTTGCGTGAGTACATTCGCTGCAAGGCGATTTTAACGCGATAACCTGAACAAACACAACTCGCCATTACTACAACTGTATGAACCCAAAGTAAACATTTTGCTGTGATTAAATAGCAATAAACGGATCAAACTGATGCCGAAATAACTACAACATGATGCAGATTTGTTAAACATATGAATTCATGCTTTGTCAGGTCTGCCAGCAAGACAGCAGGACAACAACTTCTAAAATGTTTGTTTTCTGAATGGATTTTGGATCGATCAGGGCTATGCTATGCTAACTTGGTCACAGTAAAGTGCAATGATAGCTGGAATAAAGTTACAGACACATGTTTTCTGAACTTACCAGGTAGGTCAACCTCCTCGCTTTCTTTTCTCCAAGTAATGTCCAGTTTTGTCCGGTTTTTATATAAATATGAAGTCGTAGTCCGACTAACAGACTACTAACGACGCTAACAACAACACTGAAGTGAAGATAAATCAACGTTGAAATCCCAAAAACTAAAGTAAAAAGCTAATTTAATAAAAGCAGTTAACTTCGAGCTCCTCCCACGAGTAAATGGCAGTTGTCAGAGCAGAATCCAACCGACTACGGGTGTTTATTTGTCCAATGGTTGCAGCGTTGCTCCCTGCTGCTCTCCCCCAAGTTTAGCAGTGCGTGCGGCGTCCGTAAAACGGGCTTCGTCCTGCCGGGGAACCTCCACCCCCCATGCTGGGTGCGCCTCGGACCGTAGCACGCCGGCCGAGCGCTCACCCCCCGCTCACGCTGCTCTTTCTGCGACCTTCTCTCCCACGAAGAGAAGCTGTGCTGGGCGGATCATTTTGCCGGTAAGGACGCAGTGGCGTGGCGGTCCACCTGCTCTCATGACGAAGCCCTCGACCTTCTTCTATCGGATGAGCAGGAATCCCCGACGGCTCCCCGCTTCCCCCGCTCCAACTTCCGGTGACGCCTGCCTCAACGTTGTTATGTTGCCGCAGCGAGGCAAGCGATCCTTAAGCTACAGAGATGCTACTGTCAGGCTAACGTTGAGCTAACAGGTAGCTAACCGTAAGCTAACGTGTAGCTGACATGTGGTCTGTCCCTGGATCAGCCGACCAAGGAGACCCCATGTGTCCATGTTGCACCACATTAGCTGCGGCTAATGACATCTAGCAACCGGTTTCATTGCTGGCCGACCCTCGTCGGTCAGATCGGACTACTGGTAAACTATGGGTTGAAAAAAATCTGTGTGTGAAATCTTGTTGCTCCTTTTGTGAAAGTTGTTGAACAAATGCTGACTGTGCCTGTCTCAGTCGAACCGGCCACACCAAGCACACATTTCCCACACTGTGTGAGCCAGCTGCCGTTAGCCAAGTGGCTAATGTGCAGCTTGAAGCTCAAAGCAACAAGCAGTACACTCTGTTCACTCTCTGTTCACTGCTTGTTGCACTTGCTGCAAAGCTGCACATCCTTTCTCCCCTTGCCCCCCTCCCTGACATGGTCAGGTGGCTGGCCTGAGCCCACACGAACGCCTCCCCCCGCCCTCTTCCTTTGCCGGCCGAGCAGCGTGCCGATGAGTGGCATAACAGGAACATGCTGCAGCTGGCCAGATGGTTTTCATGCAGTCTGGCGTCGATGCCACAAGCAGAACCAACTTCCCAATCTGTGATGCATTGTGGACATTTACGACGTTTTTTTTTGTTGTTGTTTTGTTTTGTTTTTTACTTTTATTATAGTGTTTTGTTCCCCTTTTTATTTGGCTTTGTAGAAAGCTGAGTAATAGAGAAGACGTGCAAGAAAGGTACCTGGTCAGACTCAATTGGTGGTCACTGCAGTCATATTACATTTTAAAACCCTTGGTCACCCCTATGTTTATTTTTTTTCATGAATGGAATCATGATACATCTGTCTGAGTGTGTAATGTAATAATGTTTGTATGGTTAATACCAACAACTGAATTCTCAAAATATAGATATCTGCCTCTATTTTTAACTTTATCTTAAAACGTCTTTTTAAACTCATCAGGTGGTGCTGCTGATTTAGATTTCATTCAGCAGTGAGACACATTTAGTTATTAGTAGTGATAATGGTGTGAAACTATCCCAGTCTATGTGTCACGATTGACCTTGTCACCCTTAGTAGATCAAGGCGAGTGTATGTTGCGTGCTAAACACAATGTGCTTCACTGATATGAGCTTAAGAGGAGACAATCAGTCTTAAAGAGGCAGAACAAGCCTTGTTTTTTGGGCAAATATTTAGAGCCTTGATTATGATGCTCACAAAGAGATTATGTTTCTCTGTCATGCCCACAACCTCTCATTGTGACCAGGATCCACTGGTTGTATGAACAAGGTCACATTTTGTTCTTGTATCACCCCATCTGCTCTACGCTTGTCGGAACACTGCTGACGGAAGAGGATTAGTGTTCGGGACAATGTGTGAGAAGCAGCTGTGATCACAGCACATCTGTGATGCAAACAAACAACTTGGCAAGATTTCTTTTTCTAATTGGTCTTCAGCTGTAGAGATCAGACTGACTGACAACAAACATATTCTACTCACTGTAATGGAAGAAGTGCTCAGATATTTTACTTACCCAAAAGTAACAATACCACACTGTAAAATTGCATGTAAAAATACAAAGTATTTACAACAAAAAGCACTATCAAAAGTAAAACTATTAAGCAGCAGAATGACCCCTGTCATTATAATGCTCATATATACTAACTTGTCCGATTATTATTACTGTTACATTACTATTAGCAGCCGATGAAGGTTAAGGCCTTTTTGAACTACCATATTTTATATATACGTTACCATTTGTCAGTTCAGCTAGTTTTCTGCTTAAAATTTTAATCTGAAATGTAACCAGTAACTTAAGTTATCAGATAAAGTACAATATTTCCTACTGAAACATAATGAAAATACTCAAGTAAATGTACTTAGTTTCTTTCCCCTACTGTCTATTGAGAGTATTGGAGTTTATATGAACTTATTGAAAATGCGTCTTCAACTGTCATTTTTAATTTTATATTTGAACTATTTAAATTTTTTATCGAACATGTGTCTGATATTGATACAACAGCTTTAATGGTTCCATGCTGATGAAGAAACTTCTTTAATCTCCTCTCCTGACTGAAAATCCAGGTAAAATCACAGAAAGTCCATCCATCCATCCATCGTCAACCGCTTATCCTGCGTACAGGGTCGCAGGGGGCTGGAGCCAATCCCAGGTTACATCAGGCGAAAGTCGGGGTACACCCTGGACAGGTCGCCAGTCCATCGCAGAATAACATAAAGTTTTACCCATGAAATCAGACTGGAAGAGTTTGATCTCATGTTACTACTTACTCAGGCATTTCAGTGGTCTGGCCACATGTCCATCAGAGCCGCTGATATTGGACAGGGCTTGAACTGTAGTGACATACTGGTGGTGTTGACCCCCCCCATACACAAAACAAAAACAACAACAAAAACCTAATCCTGTCTCCACTAAGACTGAAGCCAAATTGCTTTGATCTCAGATGACCTCAGGAACCATCACACCACAGTCTCTGGTTGTATTTCTGCAGTGATCAGAGACCAAACCACGATGATTTATCTCAATAGTGCATTCCTGTTTATCAAAATATCATTTTATACAATACTCTTTCTGCATTTAGAATACAAAGGAATTTTGTTTCAGGGTTAAAGTACTGAGGCATAAGACTTTAATTTAAGAGGTGTCCTTTCTGGTGTCTGTTTGTATGTACTGGAGGTGTTTTTAGGTACCTTTGTGTTATTTATTCACCTTTGTGTGTTATATGTGGAAAGTTTTTTATAGCTTCAGCATGGGTGAATGCCCAAGCCAAAAGTTCCGCTTTGTGGGACAATAAAGTTAATTTTGAATCTAGAATCTAATTTCGATTATTTTGACATTTCCAATTTGATACTTTGATGCACAACATTGAAAACTGGTCAGCTAAGCTAACCAGCTGATTTTTTCACTTAACATAATGTCCTAACAATAGATTAATTTGTGTTTCAGCCCCGAGATGAGTCCGCTGAAGTCTGTGCCTCAGATTAGAATAGACATGGACCCAGACGACGATAATTCATTCTACTGGAAGAGAAGAGGTTCTGAAACGTCTCTGTAGAGCACCAAATCCTGCAGCACCCGCAACACAACTATCTATTTTACTCTACTTTCCTTTCAACGATTTCAAGACCTTATTCTTAATTAGGAGGTATAGGGGAAAAAAAGGGAACGCACCAAGGAACAAACACAACGATACATTTCTAATAATGAAGCTATTTTAAGGCCATTTCTTTCCTCACAATCTTCTCTTGGTAGTTTATCTCACAGCTCCACAGTAAACAGTCTGACTCAAACACTGTTAAATGTAACTCCTTACTACTCTTCTATGCAACTCCTCCCACGCGGCGCTGATCAACAGTGAATGCTGCAGCTCTCTCGGACCACGCATGGACTGCCCTTCCTGCTTTTTTTTATATAAATATCATCTGTCCGAATTTTTATATAAATTGAATTACTCTAATAACACTTTCCTGTAGCAGGAAATTTATGTTTTTTATAGCTCTACCTCTTGTTTTAGATTAAATGCTTATTATGAACAAATGCAACATGTTGATTTTTGACGCAGCATGGGGTTTTGATATTTTCTCTCTGTCCTCTTGTAGAGTTGAAATGATTCAATTTGCTGTAGGAAATGTGTGCAAATAGATCTTTTAAGTTAATTAACAGTTAATTAACAATGCACATATATATATGTGCAGATGAGGTAAATATTTTTATTATCACTTTTGATGCAGTCTTCATTGCTTCACCTTCTCTTTCTAATTTACTGAATCTTTCACACGTTCACTTCAAAGCTTTTGTTTCTTGTTTAAATTAAATCATGTCATTATCGTTTTTCTTTTTTTTGTAATGAGTGTGTTGTGTGTGTATGTTGATAACCTTTTCACGTGTCCTTCATTTTTGTCTTTGTGGGTAGAAAACAGTGAAGCGATTACATAATCATCCAATTTTTCCTCAGCCAAACTTAAACTCTAACTAGGAATGCATATCATATAATTGCTTGTGCTGCACAAACTACTTTACCTAAGTGGCTTATAAAGATTGATCCTGACTGAAATTATGGTAACGTTATGAAAAAAAAAGAAGGGAATCAAATCCAAGTAAGCTCCATCAGCTGCTGTTGGAATTATCTGATGTGAATATGGGATCACGTTTTTGTTTTATACATTAAATAATTAGGATGTTAAGTCTTATGGTCTAATACTCACATGTCATATTGTACGTACACTGAGGGAGTTATTGGTCACTGTTATGATTCTTCCTGTTCATACAGGCTGTGACGTGATCCCTCCACAGAGGAACTAAACTCAAAGTTATGTGGGACAAATGCTGAACCTAATATGAGGCTTCTGCTGTTAAAGTACGTCCAGACATACAAAGAGGCTGGCAGTCATCGGTTCAAGTTCTGGTGGCATGGTAAATTATATCATAAAGAATTGCAAACCTTTTTTTTGTTTTAGAAAATACGAGAGAATAAAAACAACCTGAAGTATTTTTTTCAAGTTGGACACTGGATAAACTTCTCAGCTTTCCAAAGTCACCACTGGGCGCTTTGAGTGTTGGTGTGTTTTTAAGGTCCAGTGCACAATTAATGGAAGCTTGTTGTTGTTTCCAGTGTTTGAATCTGTATAATGTAGAAGAGGCCTGAGTCAAACAAAATCTTCATCCTGGTAGTCATGTGTGTCAAGGTTCATTACTGGTGTGATGCCCTAGCAAGAAACCCATAGACCAGGACATATCCTCCTGACTCGGCTTAGCAAAGAAACACACAGAGGGAATTTCATTAATAAAAAAAGACCATCATGTTGGAGGATACCCAATGATTTTTAAAAGAACTTTAGAATACATTTTTGCTCAGGATTGTTCATTTTGTCGCCCATCTTTGCACAGTGTATAGGCATTAGGAAGATTTCGTGTCACGGCCAGTATGGAAAGGAGGAGTGATTGCAGCGACCAATAACTCTTTTCTTTTGTTTCTTTTGTGTTTGTTATTATTATGTCTTTTGGACCAGGTATGTGTATGTGTATGTGAAAGCTTTGATTGATTGATTGATCACTGACAATATTGCATGTGAGTGTTACGTTCAGACAGACTCTACATAAAACTTCAAGTTGTTTTTAGGACTTAAACTACTAAAATAAGAGAGAAGATGTTGTAGGGAATGCAAACTTCACATTTCCTACATAGTGTCTGGTGAGTCCACAGTCACATATAGAAAGGATCACGCCTCTCAAATCTGATAACTTGACTTGTATTGGCCAGTATTATCTACATAGTTCATTATAACAGTATCCCCACTTCAACTCTAAAGGGCACCGTTAGCACTTTCTCATCTAAGCGGGTCACAGATTTAATTTGACCTTTCTGTCTCCATCACCACTATAAAGAATAAAATTAAACCATGTGATAAATGAGCCGCCTTCCTCGTCTGCAAATCATGTACATAAAGGCACGTTGGCTCAAACCAAAATGTAACAAGTTACCCTGTACCTTCATGGTCTTTGTGTTTAATTTGTTTCTGTCAAGTTGTTTCAGTTCATCAGCCGAAGTAACAATATCATTTGTACTCCACATCAGTGTTTTTAGCCGTCAACAGCAGACAGTGGAAACAAGTGTGACTTAATGTCTGAGACATATAATGTGGGGAGTTGTTAGTTAAAAGTGTGAGCATGTCGAACAGAAATCATGAAATTAAATATAATGTTAGCGTACGGGATACTGATATGTTTTTTTGTTTTGTTTTTTTAAATTAACTTTTTTGTGACTTTTTAGAACAGGTGAAATGGTTTATTTTAGAATTTATATTTTTCAAATGAAATGTATATTGAAAATAAACAGAATGATCAAACCGTGATGGTGTGCTGATTTTTCAGTCCAAGCGGGTCGTAATGTGCAAAAACCCAACAAGAACTGCTAGATATTTTGTTGAAACAGTTAGCCACTTGACAGAAAATGAATTAGTAATTATTTTGATACTTGATTCATCGTTTAAGTAATTTTTCAAGCAAAAATACCAAACAATTCCTGGTTCTAGCCTCTTAATTTTAGTTACTACCCATAGGCCGAGAAGGAATATGAGCTGTAGAGGTGCAACAAATGTAATTAAACAATTTTAATATTTGATTAATCAATTAAGTCATTTATCAAAGCACAAATGCTCAATGGTGTATGGAGATTTTACTGTACAAAACAAGCAATTTACTGATGGAAATTGTGATATTATTATATAAATGGACTAAACAATCAATAATAATTCATTTCAGTCCATATGAGCTGTGTCCCAATTCCATGCTAAATATTGTAAAAGTTTCAAAATAAAATAAACTCAAATATGTCAGACTTCACTTGTTCACTTGATTTCTGAGTGTGCTGTTGATGGACACAGTAGAAGCTTTACATTTGTAGAAAATGTTACTTTTCATGATGTGATTAATGTCCATCTGCTGTCATCTTTTGTAATTACCTGTTCAAAAATCTGAACGCAGACAATGAATATTATTATATTGCTTATAATGTAACAATTAGAATAAAGTATACAATCAAGGTAAATATCCTCAGAAAATAAGTCCTTGCATTGAACATACCAGTAGTGGAGTAAGTATTCAGATCATTTACCTAAGTAAAAGTACTAATAATACTCGGCTCCAAGTAAAAGTATTGAACATTTTACTTAAGTAAAAGAAAGTATAATCAGGAAAATGTTCGTAAAGTATTAAAGATTAAAGTATTCAAAGCAGTTAAATGTTCCTTTTATTTGTATTATTATTATATAATTAGATTATTATTACTCATTAATGTAAAAGCATTATAGTTGTTGAGGTGGAGTTCAGTATGAACTATTTCGTATCAGACTGCAACTAATGACCTCACAATTACTGAAACCACATTTGAATTATTAAAATAAAAAGGAAAAGCAGCAAACCCTCATGGAACCATGAAATGTTTTTACATGACTTAAATGATTATAAAAATAGTTGCCAATTAATTATCTTGATTAATCAACTAATTGTATCATCTGTACTTGTACTTACTGTTAAAAAATATATTATAAGCTCTTCGTATGAATTCTCAAAGTAGCTAAAGTTTTAAGATAAATGTAGTGGAGTAAAAAATTACAATATATCCCTCTGGGACTAGCTCTATATGAAAAGTGCAATGAGGTAACATCTGTTTTGAATTGGTGCTATAAAAATAAAACTAAATTGAATAAAATTGAACTGTAGTGGAGTGGCATGGAAACAAAATAATCAAGTAAAGTACTAAACAGGCACACACAGAGTTTAGTTTCAGGTCAGTCAACTCCATAACTCATTCTGAACATTAAGGTGTTACATTATCTCTAAATTAAACCCACTATATATTTATACTACTTAACCCTTCCTTGTCTATGTTTTATCATTTCCTGATCAATACATCAGAAGGCTATATGTTACTTATTCCGTAGCTCCCTCTAGCGTCTGTCCAGCTGCATTACAACCTACGGAAACGAGTCATCAATCAACGGCCGTGCTCTTGACGTTGGCAGATCTTCATCCAAATTCAGTCCAAATTAGGAGTTCTAAACTCCGCAATTGTTCCTCAGGCTTGGATACTTGAGTACAAAAATGTAGTATATGTTTGCAAGAAATACAGTTACAAATATTTAAATATAAATACTACAGATACAATAATGAATAGTAGCCTGGTTTTCCATTGTAGGTAATTTCAAGGTCAATTGTGAAATATGCACTTTTCATAATATATTTGACATATGAATTTCTAATATTGTGTATATCAACAATTGAATTACAGGAGGTCAAAGTGGTCAACTGTTCAAAAAGTGCTCTCAAACTGAATGTAGTCAAACTGCGGTAAATACTCAAAATATCACTCATGCAGAAGTAAAACTTTAACTGACATTTAAATGTCACCATTAAACATAATGGACAAATCCAATAAGTGATGTCAGATTAGTTCGTCTGATTTCACCTCTCTTTCTGTCAAATCAGGAGCTTTTCAGTTAATTAGCAGATTAACACAGATCAGCAAATTACAAAATGACTTGATATGCATGATTTCATGATAAAAAATGTATTGCCTGGAAGAATCTCATTCACACAGATATAAAAACGTAACTGCTGTTTGTTTCCACTAGAGGACTAACAAGAGCTGTGGAAGAGAGATACTGTGTGTGTGTGTGTGTGTGTGTGTGTGTGTGTTCTTGTACTATCTTTGTGAGGACCACTTTGACATTTGCAACTTGAAAATGATTTACTCTTGACCTTACTTCTTCAAAAGGGGCATTTTAGGGTGTGGACTTGGTTTTAGGGCTGATGTTGGATTAGGTTTAGGTTAGAATTAGGGTTAGGCATTTAGTTATAATGTTTAAAAAGGGGCACACCACCAATGGTAGTCAATTCATTTTCCAATAGGAGGTCTACTCAGATTGTGAAAACAGTCAATCAGCACAACATCAATGTTTTCTCCTGTGGCTCTGGAGGACCACAGAGCCTGGGTTACAAGCTGGGATTTTAAATATGTGGGTGTTTACTGGGCAGTTGCATTTTAGGAAGTGTATGATAGTGTTTATCTAATGAAAGATTTGAACTTCTACTTGATGGATTAACACAGAATTTTGTACAGACTTTCACGGTCCCCAGGCGATCACCTGACTTTTCCACTGGTACCATCATCCGGTCAAAATTTTAATTTGTTCGAAACGTCAGGTTTATGACCAAATTTATGCAAAATAATGACATTCCCATCAGCCTCAGTTGTACTTTGTGTTTATTGCTAATTAGCCAACATTAGCGTGCTAACAAGGTAAATGTTATGTTTGCTGACAGATGTG